TCATCGTAGGAAAAATCTGTTTAGAAATCTGTGCTATGAACTAACAAATTTGAAGGCCTTATCGGCCACGAGAAACCGAAATTGACTGCGCCATTGTGATTAGACTAATTTTTTAGAGCTACGATTTTGAAATTTAAATTGCAAAATTATTCGGATCAAAATATTGGATTCAGGATGATAATTAAGTGCTATTAATTAGCTATAATCAAATTGATAAAAGAGCCTATAAATAGGCCAATATACAGTCATCTTTCTCATTTTTTGTTGAGCTCAAAATTGAAGTCACACTCTAGAGAGAGAGGAGAGGCCGGCTCTAAGGAGAGAAGCAATAAGAATTGTGTATTGGCTCAAAGTTGTTGAGATTGGAAGGCTAAGCTCAAGGTTTACTACCATTTGTGTAACAACCCTCACTTCAACTTAGTCATACTTGATACATTTATGTGATGATCTTATTTGTTATGTTGCATTTGCAATCCTGTCTTGTTTTGCTTGAGTGTTGCTTCGCATGCTTTGTTCTTGCCTGTGTGTATTGCCGAGGTCACCTTAAGCCTAGTCACCTTTGAACCTTTTTACACTTGAACTACCTTGGAACCCTTTGGTTGACCTCCACCATCACCTAGGCATATTTGCCGAGATGCCATCATCTAGGCCGAGGTGATGCCGTCACCTAGGCGTGATGTGCATCATCAGCCGAGATGTTATCATCTAGGCGTTCTAAGATCCTTGATCCTTGCATTAGTGATTTTGTTTCCTGAGGAATGGTAGACCAACGATTGAGGTGTGCACATCTAGCCAGGTGTGGCACAGCTTAGTCAAGTGTTGTCCTTCCAAACCGATGGTTGTGTCACCCTACTTGCCGAAGCTTTGCCCTTAGCCGGAGATCATCACTTGCCAGAGTGCTCTTGCCGTCTAGCTTGTTGAACACCACTTTGTCATAGTCTTGTCTTCAGTTAGTCACATTTTATGGAAAGAACCAATCAGCGATGCCAGTGTCCCTAGCAGAGTTGAGTTAGTGAGCTGTTGAGAAACATATCATTTTGTATCAAATCTTGTCTTTTAGAGAGAGAGACTCTTAGGAAGAAAGAAGAGAGCTTTTGAGTGAGAGAGTGGACCTCCAGCTTGACCGTGGGAGTTTGACCGTTAGATTCAAGTTTGAGGTTTAGAATCTTAATCTACTCTTGTTTCTTATTGATCTCCAGCTGCATTACATGATCGAACATGTTCTGCATGCCCTGCATTGATTTAAAGTTGGTTTTAGTAAGAAAAGATAGTGTTCATGTGTTCTAGAAGAAAAGTCTTGTTTTGATCCGAAAGTTTGCATCAAGAACCATATTTTGTGTTTGTTTTCACAAGATCTTCAAGTATGGTACCAAGTCATGTTTTCGAACTCATAGCACGAAATCTAAGACTTTGTAATAACAAGTTATGATTTAAGCATGCTGTTCTTCATTCTTCTCCATCTTCATGTCTTATGTTCCTCAAAGGGAAACCCAAATTTTCCGACTTCGCTTTTGAATGTGGCCGTCTGGACCACACTCGGCGAGAAGGTGTGGAACCTCAGCCCAGACCCAAGACCTGGTTGGTGCCCAGCATGTTTTCCCGAGATGAGAAACAGTGTTTTGTTTTGATTTGACTTAGTTTTTGAAGAATGTCGAATCATCCGTTTGCATGTGAAGCTTGTTTGAAAGTGCGTTCAATAGACTTTGCCATGTGTTTGTAGGACTCGGACTTTTGCCTTGACCCCGACGTGGAAGAACTAAGTGAGTGGTATTTTTAATAAAGCTATGTTATCATGTTTTGATAAGCTTTGCTTTGCCTTGTTTTGAAAAGTATTTGATCAAGCATGAATGATTATCCCTATTTGGTATATCAAGTATTATCTTGTTTTGATGACATTCTTAGAAAAGTCCTTAGTGTCAGGGGACTATAATGCAACTGCACATCTTGTTTTGGAAAGTCCTTAGTGCCAGGGGACTATAATGCAACTGCACACCCTTGTCTTGAAAGTCCTTAGTGCCAGGGGACCATAATGCAACTGCACCATCGTTTGAGATATCTCCCTTGTTTTGTCTCGTTTTGCCACTGACGGTTTACCGCGTGGGTTTGTTTGTCCGGAATGTCATCATTTGCAATATGTTGATGCTAGTAAGCATCCCTTGAAGCTTTGAAGATTTGTTAGATGAACGTGGCTCATCCCTAGTTATGTAAAGTTTGATATGTATTGTTTTGAAAAGACTTCGGCTATTATTCATGCAAACCCTTTATTATTTATATCATTCACTGAGTACCCAAGCTCACCCTCTCCATATATATATGTAGGTGATGAGCAAGAAGGCGGTGACGCCTAGATGTGTTTCGCAAGCTTGTTTTGGATTCTTGTTATGTCGGCTTGACTTGTATTCATGTCGGCAATCTTGAAGATTATGCTTCTCGACTTGTAATACTTGTATTTTGCATACATCGGCTTGAGAAGCCTTTTGATCAAGATATAACATGTACTTTACTTTATTTGTAACCAAGTTGTAACACATGATAAGATGTATGCCATTTCATTTGATCTACGCACGGCTCTTATGGACCATTTGTATTTTTAATTATTGCTTCTGCATTTGTAAGCCCCTATGAATACTCTGTTTGTGTGTGAATCTTCTTTGGTTGGCCTTCGGTAATTTCGGATTACTGGCCATCACGGCACCATCCTACTAGAGGCGGTTTGGGGTCGTGACAGAATGGTATCAAAGCACAAGTTCCTTAGTATACGTTATTCACACACTTGGAGTCCTAAAGAGCATAGGATTTCCCCTTAGAAGGATGTTAGGATTGCATCATATTGCTTGCTATTTGAACAAGGTGTGCATCGTCTCGGCATGCTTAATTGTTACTTGCCTACGTGTTTATTTGCTCATTTTGTTTTAAAGTCACACTTTGCATACTCATAGCATCATGAGGAGAGGTAGACCTCCAGTTGGCCGAGATCAGTCCGAGGACAGGTTAGACAGACTGGAAAGGTTAGTTGAAGGTTTGGGCTGCGAGTTAAGGCAAACAAGACAGCAGTACGCTAGTGCTACTTCGACTCAGGCCGAACAGACAAACGGCCGAAATGCAGTTCCGCCTCCACCTCTACCTCCTCCAGTACCACAAGTGCTCCCATAGCCAGCTTTATATGGGGACGGCACGATAGCTTTGATCAGAGAGTTCAAGAAAATGAAGCCACCGAGATTCCAAGGGGGTATAGAGCCGATGAAAGTCGAAGCGTGGGTTTTGGAAATGGAAAAGCTGTTCGAGATCTTCCCCAGCACCGACGCTCAGAATGTGTCATTGGTAGCCTTTACATTAGATGACAACGCTCGCAGATGGTGGATGATGGTTCGAGAAGGCAATCTAGACTTGACCTAGACCCAATTTTTGGAGTTGTTTTACAACAAGCATTTTTCCCTAAGTGTTCGAGATCGCAAGACTACCGAATTTCAAACTTTGACGCAAGGCAATAGAACAGTGGTTGAATACGACTGTGTCCTTACCGAGTTGGCGAGGTATGCACCCCACATGGTCAACGATGAATATATGAAGGCTAGGAAGTTTGAAAGTGGGCTTCGTGGACCGATACAAGACCAAGTTAACATGCTCAACATGCCGACTTACGAGTATTGGACAAAGCCATTATGGCTGAAGCTAACTTGAACAGATACCAGAGTTCAGGAGAGAGCCAGAGGAAGAGGCAGAATTATGAAAATCGCCGAGCACAATTTGGTACCAAGAAGAAAGCGAATGTTGGCAGTTCAAGCAACCCAAGGCAGGAAAGTGGTACTAAGCCGACATGTTCAAGTTATGGGAAGCCACATTTCGGGGTCTGTCGTCGGGCGTCTGGAGCTTGTTATGAATGTGGTGAAATGGGTCATTATGTGAGGGACTGTCCTAAAACAAAGGCTGATGATAGTAAGAAAGATGAGAATACCTCGGGTTCCGT